AATCCGTTCAGGAGTTATGACATTTTCGATAAAGAATTTTTGTCCCGAGAGTGCGTAGGATTCAGGGTATGCCTATTCCCCAAAAATGCTTGTAATTAACCCCTGTAACTAAATATAATTTTTTTAGTATGATTTGAAATTTTTTAATTTCGTCTAAAAATTTCAGTACCTACTCGAATTTTTTTCTCAAAAGTGGGTAGGATTTCAGGGGTATGTGTATTCACCAAAAATTATTGTAATTGACCCCCGCAACCAAAAATAATTTTTTCAGAATGATTTGAAATTATTTAATTTCATTTTTTAGTAACTTTTTAATGAAGCCTCAGTCAAGAAATTGATATTCTTGATTTTCGTCTTATTTTTTGCTCTAAAATCTCCCATTAAAATTTTTCCCAAGGGTGATCAAACACCCTGTATAATGTACATTTAGATAACATGTCTGGCTAATATTTGATGAATTTTGAAGCAAAACATAAATAAAAGGAAGACAATGATACTTATTGTTGGATTATTAATAAATAATCATTACAAAACTGAATCTAACAGTGAGAAACACTGTCCATTGTCTGCATACGAAGACCGTATTGGCACCATCGGGCCTAGGGGCCTGGGTCTGTTTTGTCGTAGAGGGCCAGAGAAATAAACATGATGCAGGCAATGGTTTCTTTCCATTTTAAGTGGACGCCAGATTTTCTTTTAGGGGATCTGAGCATCGCTTCACTTCTTGTTCAGTTTTAACAGAGTAAAGACGTCCTTCCAAACCACAGAATAAAGTTTCATTTTTACTTACAAAGTGTACTGCTTTTTCACCCAATTCCAATACTTATTAATACTTGAAAAATTAGAGGTCAGATGATTCAGGACTCAGTTAATTGAGGGATTATATAGAATAATTTTGTAAAATTTTGTACATTTTATGGCAAAAATATAGATATCTTGCACATTTGCTCTGCTCAACATTTAACCCTTAACTACTACACGTATTAAAACTTATATCTCAGAGATTGCCAATGTTTATTGCGTTATTGACATAAATGTGGCAAATCAAAAATCAAAATCTTACTTTACATGTCAATAATGAAGGCGTTCAAGTTTGATTGAATAGTAGTAAGTATATTGAAAACCTTCTTCTTTTAATAATTTTTTTTACAATTATATTATCACTAGTTAGACATCTTTTTCATAACTATTTTATGAAATTGCTTTTCGTTGTTTTCTTACGTATAATAATATAAATTTTCTTTATAATACGCATATAAATAAAATTAGCAATAGGTATGCAATTTTGAGTAAAAATAAATCTGAAAAAATAAAGCGAAGCTACAGATAGAAATCAGACTACATTTCCATAATGCTGTCTGCATTCCATGAAAAAGCCTGTGTTTAGATTCAAAGAAACATGACATATGATATTCTTCAGTTATTGTGCACTATTGACTAATATTTGACACTTGTTAGAGAGAGAGATGTAATTCCTTTCCTAGAGGCACAAAATATCCTTGCAAAAAATGTAACTTTCTAATCTGCTTACAGTGTGCTAAAAGAATATGTACACTGTGCTGAAGGTATATAATTTGATTTTTTAATAAAGTTTAATTTTTGTTCATAATTTAGTCATACTTATTTTCATTGATTCCTATTTTTATTATAAATTGTTTAGCTTTGTTTTTATACTTTGACCTATTATTTATAGAAATAACAGAAAAAGACTAAATGTAACCACTATTAAGGGTTTCATAGACTGCTAAGGAAAAATAAATTGTTCTCACTAATAATTGGAAACACATAATCAGCTAATAATTTCGATGATTGAACATTATACTACAACTAAAAAGTGCCTACAGTACTAGGCTCTTAAGTCATACAGAAAGGAAAATAGAGATGAATAAGTAATTAATAAGTAATACTCTCATGGATCAATAGTAGTACTTAAAGGTTAAAAGAGAAATGATCTTGCTAGCAGAGAAATCAACACCATTAAAAAAAGTCAGTAAATGCCAATAGTCCATAGAACTACAACTTGTTTTAACTATACCTGGCATTGAATTGCAATTTTATATATTTACTTTTGAAGGCATGATAACATGTTAAAGTGCTTACGTAGCTAGTTTATGCCATTTTAAAACTTGACCACACAGTAACTTTCCTACGTTTATACCCAAGGAGTTAAAAACAATTACGAAACAATTAACTATACAAAATTGAAATTTAAGCAATTTGAAAAATAAAGTGGTTAGTTGTCTAACAAGAACATTCATTTGAGGCTATAATCATATTCTTATATGTGAGATTAAACATCAAATAAATAAATAAACGAATATTTGATATACAATATTAACACATTCAATTAAGTATTCTGTAAATAAAGTTATTCAATTTTTACACGTTTAATATAGTCTCGTAAATTACTTAACAAATTATGAAACAAATAACTCAAAATCCAAAAATAATATTACTTTCAATTAAAGCCAGGTATTAACCAAGAAAAACGTAAGAATCATAACCTAAAAACAATGCTCTTAAATAAATAATATTAATAAAAAGAAATATATGTATAAAAGGGTTTCACGTTATAGCAATTATTCTTTACTTACCAAAAGTTACGAAAGTTTTTTTAATAAAGGTTTGCCAATCACTATCTATGTACTTAGGTAATTTACATTCAATTTTGTAGTTAGAACCTACTAAATATTGATGCGTTCTACTATAAAACTAACTTTCCACTAAAATATTAGGAACACGTTTAACGTCAAAATTCTTATACTTATTTAAATAATTAACTTAAATCTTTGTACGAGATTCAAAATTATTAACGAAACAACTATTCCAATGAGAGACGTAGAACTCTTCTAGAAATTTCACGAACATATACATAATACGAAACTTACTCTAGATAGGTAACTCAACGCAAGAATGTGCAATACAAAATAAGGATTGTAATTCGTGTGACCAACTTGGTACTGTTGCGCCCCGAGGTCGCGGTTTAGGGTTGTTGCGGTCGCCGCCTGGCGCCGTGTAGCAGAAGCTCTGGGGGGCGCGAGGTTTGAATAGATTACACGAATGTAATAGGAAAGGGAGACAAAGTGGAGCCCGCGCCAATTCTACGGATTAAAAGTGGTTAGAGATTCTTTTGACCCCTTCCCGTGCTTTAACGAGTCCGACTCGTTAATGAAGATTTTGGCCCAAACATGAATACCACGAACCGGACTCGCGAACAGGAAGTCGGCCCTAACGTAAACATCACGAGTCAGGCTCGCGGACAGTAAATCACGATTCTTGGAACCTCTGTTGCAAGACGGTTTAGTATCGGTCTGATCTGTTTACCGCGCGTTAGCGCCCGGTATCTGGTTTGGGCCCGGATTTCGTCGAAGTGAGTGGCACCGGAAGAGGTTAATGATTTCACTTCGGGAAATAGATTAGCCAATAATTTATTGGCTACGGATGTTTGGATAATCGCGAGCTCCCCTTTGATCCCTTCTCCTAAGTGTGTAATTCCAAGACTTGGGCCGTGCGCTATCGATAGCCGGAAACGGGCTGCGTGGAAAAGCCGATAACGACCACGTGCCGCATAGGACCGTTCTCGAGGGTTGGGGGAGTGTGCCGAGGAACGCGCGTGCGAGAGTTTGGCGCCCGGCCCGAATGAAAGAAAGGACGACTGGAGGGGCCTACGTGTGGGCTGGGCCTCGACCGAACGGCAGAGCGACTTCACTTCAATCCGGAGATCCAAAGCGAACGGACGTTAACTTTGAAATACGGAGCGAGATCTTACAAGTATTATTTGAAACGGCAAAGAGAGAGACATTATATTATTAAGAGTGTACGACCAGGGTTATTAATAATTCCGGCGTATCTGGTAGTATTGTCTTACATTTCCTTTATTAAGTTTACAATTAAAGTTCCCATTACGAGTGTTAAAATCGTTGTTTCAATTTATTATTCTCCTTACCTAGCGATCATTATTTGAAACTCCCGCGTCCAAGGAGCAGAGTGCCTTAGCACTCCACGGGCAGCGTTCCCCGCCGAATTCCCTACGGAGGATCGGAAATACGCCGCCGGACGCGCAACAGGGTGTTGCGTCCCGAGATCGTGGTTTAGGGAAAAAGGACGGTGGATTGGTGCCCGTGGAGCGCTGAACCGCTCTGCTCGGCGAGGCGCGCAAAAATCAAACTACTAAGTATGTTCGAAAAATGGTTGGTAAAATTTATTCGTCTTCGTCTAGACTTTTAGATACAACTTGGTTGACTTTCGAAATCGATCTGTTCCTCCGCGGAAATCTTCTCGTCGTCCTCGATGTTCATCCCTTCTCCGGAATATTCCTCGATCCTCCCTCTGGATTGTCCTGGTCCAATCGGGGTTTGTGCCCTGCCCCATCCGTCCGGATCGTCTTCGATCGATGATCCACCCCCGAGCCGCGCGGAGGTGGAGGTTACGCGGCCATGTTGGAGCGGGCGCGCGTGAGAGAGAGCGTGGGAGTCGAGAGAGAAAACGAGGCTAGCGGCCTAAGGCCTAAGCAACCCTTAAGAAAATTTATGACGCTTGTGAAAGTAAACGAAACTCGAAGCGAAGTGTCGCGAGGCCCTGCTGTGTGTCAAGACCATTGAAACTCTTAACGGAAATAGCTAATTTGTCACGGTCCGTAATAAACTAAAGGAAAGAACGACGGAAAACTACGATTCGACGTGATCTTTAGAAAATAAACTAAGTATCTGAAAAGAAGTGCCTTCCTTTCTCTCTACCTTCCCCAGCTTGATCGCCCACGTTGAAAAACATACAATCGTATTATTTATTACAATACGCTGGTCCGTTTGGATTTCGCTCCTAACTAAAACGCAGTTACATGACTCTGCACTCGACGGTGAATAATCGGGTTACAATTAATTCCCGTTGTGGCGCTATGTGCATTAAACCTACGTTCACGTGATAGCGTAACACCTCCCTTCTTATACAAAAAGGTGTTTTGATAAAACAGCTTTTGAGTAAACGCCGATATTCATTATTATTATCCTGTGGTAGGTCGGTGTCCGTTACAATATTTACGCGTACAATATTCTCATGCTTATCATGCCTCCATGTTTTCGAAATTACTTACTACTCGCAGAAAAAATAGTTAATATTTCCCGGTACAGACGCTTATTGAAATATAAAGTTAATAATAGTCAGTGAGGTGATTCGCAATACTATACATCATTGACAACTACAAGCAGAGGTACATAATGTTAGAGGTAAATGTGCTATAAATTATATACGGAGAACATAATTAGAGCGCAGTCCTGAATTCGCAGAATATTACATTGAGTAACCTTTACATTGAATATTACAGGTTAACTAATTTATTTAGTCTTCTTCGGAAGGAGAGTTCGGTCTTATATGTGCCAGTTTAAGTTTATTTGTGTGTACTATCTTAAATCTAATTTTCCCTAGCGCTAATTCTGCCGTTAAATCGCTGAATAATCGATTTATTTTGTGGGGACCTAGCCAATTACAATCGAATTTGGAGGTTTTGGGCTCCTTAAGCAGGTATACTATATCGTTTAAATTAAATTTACATGGCCTTAAGGTTCGGTCATAATAATTCTTACTTTTCTGTTTCGCTTTTTCTAGATTCTGTGCCGCAGTCGTCTGAGTGGTGGTGATTTTTTCAAAGAGTTCATCAAGGTGTTGTGCAAAGGTTCTAGGTGCTAAACTCGTGGAGAATGTTGAAGGTATATTGGCCTTTTCGCTGAAAATTAATTCATGGGGTGTAAAACCAGTGGCCTCATGCATAGGAGTGTTATATGAAAAAATACAAAATCTTATCCAATCGTCCCAATTGGTTTTTGTGCAATAGTGTTTGAGGTAATTGATGAAAACGCGGTGAGCTCTTTCGAGGGAGCCCAAAGATTGTGGGTGGAAAGCGGTAGAAGTTATTCTTTGAATTTAAAAAATTTTACAGAAATTTTTCATGACTTGACTAACAAAATTCCTGCCTCGGTCAGTGTGAATAGTCCTGGGACATCCAAATCTACTAATAAATTGTTTGGCAAGGGCATGAGCAACAGTTACTGTATCTATGCTACGTAGTGGGATTGCATCTGAATATTTAGTGAGGTTATCCTGTAAGGTAAGTAGGTACTGATTACCTTTATTAGTTACGGGTAAGGGTCCAACTATGTCCATTTGTACCTTTTCAAACGCACGTTTAGGGGTGTCGGTAATTTGCATTGGTTGCTTAGTTCGTATGATATAATTCTTGTTCTTTTGACAGGTGGGGCACGCACGAACAAAATCTATTGATAGACCTATTCGACTTAACAGTCCCTCGGTTGTGTGGGAGGTATTGGTGCCATTGATGGAGATGAAGTGAACGAGGTTATCTCGTCGTGTAAAGAGGTGGTCCTTTAGATAGAATATAGTAGGAGCGGTAGGAGAAGGTGTTGGTTCGTTTATATCGGTATTTGTAATCAAAATCCTTTTCCCAACATTGATTCTGTTTTTGTCATTAGCATATTGTGCATTTAAAAGATTTCCTATGGGGTCTACCGAATTTACTACCGAGGTCACACCACTGGATTTCCCTGTGCAGTCCTGATCATCTCCATTCACCCTTTCATCTGGCCTCACTGGCCAGGATATACGCAAACCTCGGTCCACCTGACCGAGTTGCGAACTTCCATCCGGTTCTCCTGTCCGGATGGGATACTCACATACATTCCCTTCCGGCCTCCCCCGCCGGGATACACGCAAACCTCGGTCCACCTGACCGAGTTGCAAACATCCATCCGGGTCTCCTACCCGGATGGGATACCCAGGCACACAGGGCGCCCCTCTCCCTTGAGACGATACAGGTTGCACATCGAGTACAGATTCCCTCTCACGGCCTCCGAAGCGGGTTCCTGGGGTTCGGACTATACACCCGTTAGCCAACGAAAGACCGAGTTAAGGAGACTCTGGGGTACTCGATTGGGGTGTTCCTTCAGGAAGTTCTCGCGTAAAATTCATTACTGAGCATGATTTTCCCGAATGAAAAGTCTTTAATACGTTGTTGGTGACCTCGCTTAATTTGCTCGCTGTTTTCCTGCGCGCTAGGAACACAGAGGCTATGAATCTATCGTTTTCCGCGGATAACGCTTCATCCGTCCTGTCCACTTCGGAATCTATGATTGGTGGTTTGTCTGCGCAGACGTGCACCCTTCCTAGACACCTCGGATTAGAATTGGAGTCCGCGCAAGATCGTACAAGTTGCAGTTGAAGACTGGAATTTATGTCAGCGACGACGGAATTACGTCAGGCAAATCAGACAATATCAGGTTTCATTCCTCCGCGAGTAATCTTATGACTTAAATATGCACTTTTCTTTTGCAGGAAACGACATTTTTCTGATTGAAGAGCCAGTCCGGCGTTTTGCTTCCTCGGAGGAAAAGATATCAATGATAGGTTTTTAGCACCTCGCCAAAGTGCCTCTCTCTTTTCATTTGTTTGTTGCGAAACGCTCGCTAGGCGTAACCGGCTGATATCTTAACGTCCTACCGTCGCTTTTCAAAATTGAAGTTTATAATAGAACTACCCGATCCGATTTTCGTTAATTCTTGATAGTCTACTATTCTCGCAAATTCTACAAATAAATTCGAAAGAAAGGCATTCGTGGACCGGATGATCGGCTAAACGCGCGGTTTCGCAATCAATCTACACATATAACGGAGAGAGACATGGGGCGACCAACTTTTCAGAGTATATCTCTTCTTTCGGGTTCCGTTCCTATCGCGCCTCTCGTTCGTTTCGAGCCTCTTCATAGAGGATGATCGTCCGATTCTGTTGATAAATTATCATTTTTCCCTGGGGCGTACGAACAGAGGAAGACGTCGATCGACGGTTACCGCAAATTTCACGTGGTAAGATATATTTTATAAATATTTATCAGAGTTTAGTCAACATTTTTTTTTCAGCGTCCCTTTTGGTATGTTCCAAAACTAGTTTACTTCCTTTTCCTCCTTTTGCATAAATTACTTTAATATTAGTCAGTGGGTCTGATTTTAATTCTTTCTGTTTAATTAGGTTAAGTTGGGAGCCGGTGTCGACCAGAAATTCAGCGGAGCCGCGGTGGAAGTGATTGTGGGTCAAGGAGATGGTTGGTAATTGCGCGACACGATTCAAACCTGTTTCGTAACAAATGCAGTGGACTCGGCGCGGGAAATCAGGGGTTCCCTCCATATCGCGCCCGTTGACGGAGTCCCCTTGGAGTTTAAAGGGTTAGCCCCTAGGTTCGCGGAGAGTAAGGGAACCGGGGGACGCGTATCCTTAGGGGCATGATCGAAGCTGTTCCGACGGCACTGTCTTTCCGTGTGCCCTATCTTCCCGCATTGATGGCATTTCGGTGCATAGGGTCGAGGCCCGTGAAATCAATTATCAGCCTCGTGCCGACAAGCTTCGATCGGATGCCCGGGTTTCCCGCAACGAAAACAAACTCGCTCGTTTACTTGTGTCCTAAATATTCTGGGCCGGTCCCGGGGGGTGTTCGTGGTTTTTGAGGTTCGCGTAAAATCGGCTAGCCCGTCTATTCTGGAGGCTGCCTTAATAACCGATCGTAGATCCCGCAAATCATCCTTGGATATTATACCCGCGATAATATCGTTTCGCAGGCCCTTCAAAGAATTGTGTACCGCGTTCTTCGTGAGTAATGCCTTGACCCCTGTGCCGTGCAGGGCGTGGCACACAGAATGCCGGAGAAGGATAGTCGAGAAGTCGGGAGAATCACGCGAGACCTATTGCTTTTACAACCACACAGAGTACCCGGTAAGGGGGTACAACTTTTATTTAAAGTAAAGCAGCTGCGAAGCGCATAGTCGCCGGCATGCATACAGTCACGCAGTACCAATGAAAATAAAAACTAGCGAAAAATAGCGAAAACTCAAAACGGCCATAAGGTAAATTAACAAATCAATTTCGCGTACAAATCAGAGCCGAGCTACAGGGAGCCGACAAGAGACGGGAAGCAGCCTCGATAGAACGGGAAAGAATTCCCAAACGCGGAGAAATCCCGAGACGGAACACACGTGCTCGGGATTCTTTGGTAAGAAATTCGGTGTTCCTTCGAACGGGGGCCTCGGATACCACGAGACTAATCCCTAAAAGGAACACGGAAGCACCGGACTCACGAGAGGAAAAGGAAGAGCGACGTCCGAATTGGCCTCGGAATACCACGAGACAAATTCAGATTAGGCCAAAAAGAAGGCTGCAGAACAGCAGGAGCTAACAGGTAGCTGAGTTTGAGCCCCGTTTGGAATAACGCACAGAACAGGACTGATCAGTCCGCTCGCTCCCGTCGCAGGTCGGCTCGGTGCCTGTCACAGCGCATGCGCGATCACATACGGGGGAACATTTCGCCGCTAGCCTCCTTGGTTGCCGATCGCCTCTCTCCCCACCAGAGCCGGCAGCTCTGACGCACTTGGAAGAGAGAGAACACTCTCGCGAAACGCAAATCACTGACACTTCTCTCACTTTATCACGGGAGAACCGTTGATCGGTTTGAACAGACCCCCCGCCTTGCGCGGAGGCGCACAAAATCACTAAATGCAGTCCCAAGCGTCCGTGGCGGAGAGAGGCGATGGGCGGGCACTTTTGGGTCTTCGATCGAAGCCTGAGTTGGTGACTCTGCTCAGCAGTTGCAATCGCATCGGTGGCCCTTCGAAGTCCCATTGGACGCGTAGTTGTAGCGACATCCTCGTCGCGCCTTGATTCACAATATAAAGAGGCTATGTACATAGGAGAAAAAATAGGTAGAAACCGTAAAGCAACGAACCAACTGAAAAGGTAAAATGCATAAGCGCAAATGTAAACTAAACTAGAATTATGAAAATAAAGAGAAGCGTAGCTTAGGTGGCCGCTGCTCGTTTTGGTGTTAGTTGAAGGGAAGTCAGCTGGCCTTCAGCGCCGAACTTCAGCAGGTACCGCCCTTGCTTTGACAGGTACCTGTACCGGCGCTGTTTAAATACGGCGTGCAGCGGTACCCGGATCACCTCCCAGGGCACCACGATCCTGAGGCACGCTGGTGCTGGCGGTGGAGGTGGCATCGTCCGCTCCGCGGGGGACGCCGATGGCGGCGGCGGTGGTGTCCTTGGCCCTTCTTCCTCTGCGTTTGTTGGCGGAACTGGATCGGCCAAGAGCGGCTTTGCTGCTTTTTTGCTGGCGGCCGCTGCCCGTCGCATGCGCTGGCGGATATCCGCCTCGCTCAACCGAGATGGGGTTGAGGCGGGCTTACCCTTAGGTGGACGACGGTCCCCCTCTTCAGGATTGGGGCACTGGGTCGCATTATTCAAACATTGCTCAAAGAGCGCGTCGAACTCGATTTGTTCCTTTGGCGCGAAGAAGCTCATGTTGGCTCCGATACTCGGTGGGTACTGAGCCCTTTGTTGATCGTACCACGACAAATTTTCAACGGGTGGTGAATCTTGAGATAGCGAAAGCAGAGTCGCTTAGAGCCTTTCGGTATAATCGGAGATGACTATCGTTGGAGTTTGATATTCACAGAGTTAAGACGGGATTTATTAATACCCAACTTTTGTTTTATTGTAGAGAAGTAGGGTCGAGCTCCTTTGGCTCCACCACAGAGTTAGGGAGACCAGAATGCGGGGGTGGGTGCGCCACCGGTAATTTACACAGTTGTGCGATAGGACGCAGGTAAGAAGATGAGGCCGTCCTGACCTTGGCAACTCGAATTAGACCATCAGGGCCTGGATACACCTCTATGACTCTGCCTAACTCCCAGGAACAAGGGGGAGTGTTTGCATTCCGGAGCAACACCATGTCGTTCTCCCCTAGTGGCGCCTCCACCTGACGCCACTTATAACGCGTCTGTAGGTGGACGAGGTATTCGTTTTTCCACCGCTTCCACATTTGTTCCGAAAATTTCTGGATGGCCTGCCATCGTGAGAGTCGGTTTAACGGCTCATCCGATAAAGTGGGCGTCGGAGGGGCATTCAAAGGGGCCCCGATCAAGAAGTGCCCAGGGGTCAATGCGTCAAAGGATTCGATATCCTCGCTCAAGGGCGCTAGAGGCCTCGAGTTCAGCATGGCCTCGATTTTACACAATAAGGTGGACATTTCCTCGACCGTGGGTGTGAATGCCCCCAAAGTTCGGCGTAGATGGTGTTTCAGAGACTTGACACCCGCCTCTTGGAGGCCACTGAAATGTGGTGCTAGTGGGGGATTAAAATGCCAAAGTATGGCTAGTTGAGCACACCGATCCCTCAATTCGGCGGAACAGAAAACTCGTTTGAAATTAGCCCGCAGTTCCCTATCTGCCCCTACGAAGTTTCGCCCGTTATCACTAACTATTTTGTTGGGGAGCCCGCGTCGAGCTACAAAACGATCGAGAGCAGCCAGGAACGCGCGAGTAGAATAGTCGTGTACCAATTCAATATGCACAGCCCGAGTGGAGAAGCAAACGAACACCGAGATATAGGTTTTATGCGTCTTGTGACCTCTCCCTGCGGAGTCACGGACGTTATAGGGTCCGGCGTAATCTATGCCGATGCAAGAGAATGCCCTACTGGGTCGACATCTTTCTACAACCAAGTCCTGCATCAATTGGGCGAGAGGGCGCGGTTTAACCCGCGCACAGGTTACACACTGACGGATGACCTTCCGGACCAGGCTTCGACCCTTTATAATCCAATAACGCTGTCTCACTGTTCGGAGGGTTAGTAGGTTGCCCCCGTGGAGGGTGTTTAGATGACATTGTCGCACCAATAATTCAGAGACGAAGTGATAAGGCAGCAAGATTGGGTACTTGGTCTCGGTCGCCAACAAGGCATTGCGGAGGCGCCCCCCCACGCGTAAGATGCCCTTCGAATCCAGAAACGGACTGAGGGCTGAGATTTTGGACGAGTTGGGTATGGGTCGCCCCTGGGAAATCGCATCGCATTCCAGTTTAAAGTGCCTGGATTGCAAAAAGGTGATTAGACGGAGGGTAGCCTCCCAAAGTTCATCCGCGTTCAATAGACGCGGGAGTGGCTTCCCGGAACCAGCGGAGAGTTCCTTCATTGATCTCAAAATTGTCAGAAATTTAAGACAGTGAGCTGTCACTCGAATCAGACGTGACCAGCTTGAAAATCGGAACAGAAATTCCCAGTCCTTGGGTCGCCCAGTTGTGTGCAAGCTGACAGGCTTAGCTTCCACCGTGGTTGATAGATCAGATGGTTTGGCCGGCCAAGCGGCCTCGGATTCTGCAAGCCACAAAGGGCCTTGCAGCCAAAGAGTGTTGGAGAGAATAGCCTCGACTTCGACTCCCCGAGAGGGTGAATCTGCGGGATTGTCTTCTGACTTCACGTGTCGCCATTCGGCCTCAGGTAGAGCGGTTTGAATTCGCGAAACTCTATTCGCTACCATCACCTTCCAAGTGGAAGGTGGCTTGCGCAACCAAGCGAGCACGATCTCCGAGTCGGACCAACACATTGTACGGGAGACGGAAACGCCCAGAGAGGATCGTACATGCACAATGAGGTCCGAAAGGAGGACCCCCCCCACATAATTCCAGCACTGGAATAGACAGTGTTTTAAGCGGTGCCACCCGCGATTTAGCCGTTAATAAAGAGACGGTGACTGTACCGTCCTTCTCCACTACCCTGGAGTAAACCACAGCGGCAAATGCTGATGACGAAGCGTCACAAAACCCGTGTAATTCTATCGAGATACACGATGAGGTAAAATGGAGCCATCGCGGGATTTTGATCTCCTTTAGTTTTTGCAAGTCGAGGCAGAATGAATTCCATGCTCGCATGGTATTTTCAGAGACTGCCTGGTCCCATTCCCGCTTTTCTAACCATTGAGCTTGCATCATGATCTTAGCCCGTATTATCAGTGGGCTGAGCCAACCCAGAGGGTCGTAGAGTTGGGCGACGAGCGAGAGTAATTGCCGTTTGGTCAATGGGGTATCCGATGGTCGGACTGTTGACCAATTGAACCAGAAGTGATCGTCCTGAGGTGTCCATTTTATCCCTAACACTTTCAAATCGGTTTGGGAGAACAGAGAGAGATCGATGGCGTGAGAATGTTCGCCCACAGGAATGCGAGAGAGTAACTCAGGGGAATTTCCGGCCCATTTGCGCAGCGAAAATTTACCAGCCGCTAATAATCCGCAAACTTCGGCTCTTAATGAGTCGAGTGACTCCACATCTTCCGCGCCCATGAAGACGTCGTCCATGAAAGTGTTTTTCCAGAGAATTGGGACCGCCCGAGGGTACTTCTCGCCTTCGAGCTTTGCCAGCTCTTGAAGGCAACGTATGGCTAAAAAGGGTGCACATGTGAGCCCGTATGTAACGGTGTTGAGTGAGAAGGCTTGAACAGGATCGGAAGGACCTCCGCGCCACAAGATACACTGAAACTTTCGATCGTTTGTATCGACAAGGATTTGCCTAAACATCTTCTCCACATCGGCCACTAAGACGTGCCTATGCAACCGCCAACGTAGGATGATGGAATTGAGATCTTGTTGTAAGGGAGGGCCCGCATGCAGCAGGTCGTTTAGAGCAACTCCGTTCGCTGTCACGGAAGAAGCATTGAAAACCACCCTGATTTTGGTTGTGAGGCTGTCTGGCCGTAGGACGCCCCGATGAGGAATGTATAGGAAAGCGCGAGGGGCCGAGTCCAAGACGGACATGTGGCCGAGTTCTTTGTAATCGTTGATAAATTCAGTGTATTGTTTTAACAACGGTGGGTTTTTGATGAGGCGTCTGTTAAGGCGATTCAAGGACGCCGCGGCGATCTCGAAAGAGTCCCCTAACTGCGTCGCAGGGTGGTCCACGTTGAATGGTAATTTAACAACGAATCGACCATCCTTAGACCTTTTGGTCGTTTTAACGAAAAAATCCTCACAACTTTGTTCTGCCGGCGTAAGGATAACTTGTTTTGGGACCTCCTCGACTTCCCAAAACCGGCGTATGGCGCTATCAAGTGAATCCAGGGTAGTGAAGAGGTTCACCGAAAGGGTGTGGGTCCTATGATCGAGAGGCGAAACTGGACCGGAAAGGATCCATCCGAAAACTGTTTTCTGCGCTGTGATAGCAGCCGCAGAGAGATGCTTGACGCCTAAGCGTATTATTTGACCATAAACGTTCGCTCCTATTAGCAAGTCGATCTTCCTCTGAGAACCTGGTTCAGGGTCGGCTAAGAAATAGGTGCGTAACTCCGCGAAAGAAGTGTGAGACACCGAAGGCGGTGTGTAAGCGGTAATATTGGGGATAACGTAGGCGTTGGTTTGAACCTTGACAGATTTGCCGCTTCGCGACGAGAGTGTTAGAGAAACGCCGTGTTTAAGCGAGCCTAAAACGAGGCCGCCTACCCCCTGCACAGTTGTGCTGACCTTATAGCGCGGAAGGTTTAGAGCGTGAGCTAAGGGGCTCGAGATAAAAGTCGCTTCGGACCCTTGGTCAATCAAGGCCCGCACGATTGCGTGAGATCCGTCCGCTGCTTGCACACGGACCAAAGCGGTAGCTAATAAGACAGGGACCGACCTTGGACACTCCGAAGTCGGCGGAGATATCCTACACGAAGTATGGGCATGCTTAGCTAAATTAGTTTCCTGTTCAAGAGAAACGGTACGGCACGCCGTTGCGTCTATATTCAGGGGGTCCTTCGGGGCCTCCCCTGGTTGTTTCGGTTTAACCGTCACGTTATTTGAGTTTTCGAAATGTAACAGCGAATGGTGAGGCTTCCTACAATGCTTGCATGAAAATTTGCTTGGACAAGCACGTGAGGTATGCTTAGAGGATAGGCAATTGATACAGGCCTGTTTCCCTCTGACAAATTCATACCGCGCTCGAGGGTTGATATCCTTGAATTTCGGACATGCATAAAGCGGATGATCGCTCTTGCAGAAGGGGCAAGAAGACACCAGTTTAGGCTTCGCTTCAACGGAATTGTGCGTCCTGACATTGGGACCCGTATAATGGGGTTGCGTCATAAGTAACGCACGGATTTTTTTGTCTAAAAAGGCGGTCAACTGCTCGAGTCTCGGTAGTACGCGCGAATCTCCTAACGAATTTTCCCAGTCACGCCTAGTGGCGGTATCAAACCTTCTAACGGCTAGATGAACTACCAGGAAGTCGACTTCCTCTACGGGGCATTTGAGTTTCTTCAGAGCGGCCACCGATTGGACGACCTCCGCTTTCCCCTTTTTTAGAGAGTCTAATTTATCGTGATGCACAGACGGCAGGTCACAAAGTCTGTCCAACTGTACCGAGACCAGCACACGGAGATGCGCGTACTCGGAGACTAAGGATGCCCAGGCTATATCGAAGTTCGCGTCGCAAATCTCGAGGTGCTCGATAAGATCCTTTGGTTCTCCCCTCAAACAGGCATCAAGGTACTGCATCTTCTGCGCCTTCGAAAGGTGCTGTACGTTCTTGACGGCCGCGCAGAACGCGTCAGAGAAATGGGGCCATTTCTTAAAATCCCCATTGAAAGTGGGCAAGTCCAACTGCGGAAGTTTGATAGTGGCCGAAGGGCCAGGTTGAGGGAGCAAATGTTCCGCGGTAGAATTGTGCCCCCCAATGGGCGATAAAGGAGTGGGAGCTATAAGAGCCAGCTGATCATTCAAGTAATCGAAGGCCTCAAGGTAGTTTTCTGAAGCGACGCTAATTTTATCCTCTGCAAAATAACCGTAATTGATTTGCTCAGAAGAAGGAACAGAAGAAACGATACAACCGTGGAAATTCTGAACCTGTTCCCACAGCGTAGTCAGCATGCTTAAACGGCCGCGAAGGAATGTTGTGGTAAAATTCCCTTGGCCTTTCTTCTTAACATTTCTTACGAAATTCGAAAGTATTGTCAATTTGAGCGTTTGTTCCGCGAACATCGCGGCAACAGGATTCGAAACGGTAGAGACAGAGGTCATGTTGGTAAACTCGAGCGCGAGTGTACACAGCGATGACCGGACACAGTGCCGATTAAATTGAACAAAGGACCGTTTAATAACCGTTTATACGACTAACGCGTGTATCTCACGTAATTCCGATTAGGATTTGACTAAAATCCGGCTCGAAGGACCAAAAAATGTGCCGTGCAGGGCGTGGCACACAGAATGCCGGAGAAGGATAGTCGAGAAGTCGGGAGAATCACGCGAGACCTATTGCTTTTACAACCACACAGAGTACCCGGTAAGGGGGTACAACTTTTATTTAAAGTAAAGCAGCTGCGAAGCGCATAGTCGCCGGCATGCATACAGTCACGCAGTACCAATGAAAATAAAAACTAGCGAAAAATAGCGAAAACTCAAAACGGCCATAAGGTAAATTAACAAATCAATTTCGCGTACAAATCAGAGCCGCGCTACAGGGAGCCGACAAGAGACGGGAAGCAGCCTCGATAGAACGGGAAAGAATTCCCAAACGCGGAGAAATCCCGAGACGGAACACACGTGCTCGGGATTCTTTGGTAAGAAATTCGGTGTTCCTTCGAACGGGGGCCTCGGATACCACGAGACTAATCCCTAAAAGGAACACAGAAGCACCGGACTCACGAGAGGAAAAGGAAGAGCGACGTCCGAATTGGCCTCGGAATACCACGAGACAAATTCAGATTAGGCCAAAAAGAAGGCTGCAGAACAGCAGGAGCTAACAGGTAGCTGAGTTTGAGCCCCGTTTGGAATAACGCACAGAACAGGACTGATCAGTCCGCTCGCTCCCGTCGCAGGTCGGCTCGGTGCCTGTCACAGCGCATGCGCGATCACATACGGGGGAACATTTCGCCGCTAGCCTCCTTGGTTGCCGATCGCCTCTCTCCCCACCAGAGCCGGCAGCTCTGACGCACTTGGAAGAGAGAGAACACTCTCGCGAAACGCAAATCACTGACACTTCTCTCACTTTATCACGGGAGAACCGTTGATCGGTTTGAACAACCCCTATGAATTCCTCCGGTTTGAAACCTTCGCGCGCCGCCTGAATCCCGCGATCTAAAATTCCATGTACCCTGTATCCGAACTCCTCGATCGTTTCGTGATCGCGTCGCTGTACGTCCCACAATTCGCTTCGCATGTCGTTAAGGTTAAATGTCCGGGGATACGCGGATTTTATTAAATTAACTAGTGCTTCTACAGTCCGGGGAGGGTCGTCGCCTACGATGCCGCGGTAGGTTAGATATGGTGTTGGAATCCGGGTGGTCAAGTAATGCTCCTTTTGTACAGTAAGAATTTATTCATTTACATTGAACTCACGCCGAACTCAACTATTAAGAATGACGGAATTTGCAGCGGAATTTGACTTTTTGGAAATCAACTGCCGTCGAAGTTTGATTGGGATCTTCATGTTCGCCTACTTTTCGCACGAGATATCTATGATTTCGCAACGCTTTCACGACCTCATATGGCCCCAAGAATTTATTTGCAAATTTTAAACCTGGTCCTGTCTGCGTTTGTCTGATGGCAACTAGATCAGGTGATTGATATACAATGGGTTCTTTTCGTCGCTTATTATAGGTGTTTTTATTTTCTGCTTGTACTTTCGCAATGTTTCTCGCTGCCTCTTCGCGCATCGCGTCACGCTTTTCTTGAAATTCTCGCATACATTCCTTCTCTATAATCGACCTAATTTCTACGTTCTCTTTCAGATTCGCGTCAACGCCAAAGAATAATCGAAACGGAGAAGTACCAATACTACGATGCACTGCCGTATTAATATATTTCTGCGCGGTTTCTAAATACTTGAACCACTCATCCTGTTTCGGGGCTGATAATTTAGTTATTACAGAGATTAGCGTTCTATTCATTCTCTGACTTGGCCGTTCGCTCGGGGAACTCCCACTGTTGTTAGCACCTGTTTTATTTTTTCCCCTGAGCAGTACTCTTGAAATTCTTTAGAAGTGAATGCTGCACCTCTGTCTGAAATGATCCTGCGCGGATTCCCGAAAATAGCTGCCTGTTTACTGAGTCTCGCGATAACCTCAGCTGCGTTTGTGGTTTTTGTTGCATAGAACCAAGCAAATTTCGAAAATGAATCTACTACTACGAATATGTGACGATAATTCTTGCGCGTCGAAGGTAGCGGACCTAAATGGTCCACGTGATATGTATCCAGTGGTACTTCTCCTTTCGCTATTGGTTGTAAAAACCCCTCTGCTTTACCGGATTTTCGGTCAGCTAATATGCAAGAAACGCAATTTCGAACAATTTTCTCGATTCTCGACCGCGCATTGGGAATCCAATACTCTTTATTTAGTATCGCTTCAGTTTTCGCCGCCGAAAAGTGTCCTCGCTCGTGTGCCTCGCGCAATATTTGCAACATCATAGGTTTAGGTACGACTAGTTTCAATTCCCCCTCTACCTCTTTGAATAACACTCCTCCCTTAATTACATAACCCCTGATCTCATCTTTTTCAGCTAACCCTATTATCCTTTTTATGTCAGTATCGTCGCGCTGGGCTTTTGCAAAACGACGTTTTAAGCTATCCATACACTCCTCTACGACGAAACACGCTGAAACGGGATTCCTGCTTAGCGCATCAACATGCAGCATCCTTTTTCCAGGTCTATGCTCGATTTCGTACGTGAATTCTTCCAGCAATAAGACCCATCGCGCAACTCTCACACACAGATCGCGTTTCTTCATTGTCAAAGTGAATGCCCTACAGTCTGTTACAATTTTAAATGGAATTCCGAGCAGATAGACTCTGAATTTTTTTAGTGCCCTGACTATAGCTAACACTTCCAACTCGTAACTCGAATATTTTTGTTCGGCTGACGACGTTTTTCCGCTCGCGTAGTATACTGGATGTAGTTTGTTATCGCGCGAATTTTTCTGTAACAGTACCGCCCCATACCCAAACATAGAGGCGTCGGTGTGTAGTTCCGTTTCCGCATTTGCTCGATAGATACTTAATACCGGCTTATCACATAAAAGTTTCTTTAATATTTCGAATGCGTCTTTCTGGGGCTCTTCGAATACAAAGACCTTATCCGCTTTTAACATATCACTGAGCGGCCGCGCTATTAGGGAATCCTGGGGAATAAACTTTCTAAAATAGCCCGTTAATCCGAGAAAACTCTGTACTTGACGAATGGTCGTTGGCTGCGGAAATTTACGCACCGCCTCAGTTTTACGCTCGGAAGGATAAATTTTCCCGTTACTGATTTCATGTCCAAGATACTCTACTCTTTCTCGCAAAAATTGACACTTCTCCCAGTTTATCTGCAGCCCGGCTTTGCTTGCCACGGACAGTACTCGCCTCAAATTCCGAATTCCGCTCTCGTAACCTACGGAAGGTACTATTAAATCATCAAGATAAGCTAAAACTATTTTTTCTTGGATCAGGTCTTTAAACACGTTACTAATATATTTTTGGAAAATTGCGGGTGAATTGCATAACCCAAATGGCACCCTTAGGAATTCATAATGCCCATCTGGAACAATGAAAGCCGTATATTTGCAACTATTCTCGTCTACAGGCACGTGGAAAAATCCGTTTCTTAAGTCGAGGGTGCTATAGTATTTCGCGTTGTGTAACAAATCTAATTGGTCCTCAATTAGCGGTAACGGAAACCGGTCTCTGACGATTTTAGAATTTAATTTTCGGTAATCTACACAAATTCGCGTTGAACCGTTTCTTTTTTTGACAAGTACGATGGGACTTGCATACTCCGATAACGATGGTCTAACGATGCCATTTTCCACCCATTCCTGAATCTGCTTATTGACGATATCTCTTTCTAAGGGCGCCAACCGCCTCGCTCGCTCATAGACCGGTTCGTCGTCTTTCGTTACAATGGCCATTTTAATGGGCGTTTCCCTAACTTTTCCCGGCTTGTATTCTGAAACTATTTGGCGGATGTCTTCCCGATAAGCGTCTGGTACATTTGCGGTAACCATATCCTCGTCTTCGAAAATGTCTATTTTAAATACTTCGGGAATGCGATCATCATTTTTCACGGACAGTGGTCGAATGGAAATCTCCCCTTGCGCGACATGCATTTCCACCTTGCTTAAGAAGTTCGTGCCTAGCAACAACTCGTCTCTGATAATTCTACCCGGTACTACGTGGATTTGCGCGGAATAGTTATTATTGTCTATCTGCAATTCCCCTTCAAATGCACCGTTTGTCTCGTGAACTTCGGATCCTGATCCGCGAAACGCTAATTTCGGCGAGCTCAAACGCGGAGAGCCCAGCTTCCTATATTGATCATCCCGTATGAACGAAATGTCACTCCCGGTGTCGATCAACGCTTCGAATTTTGTTCTGTTTAACGTTACCTCTTTAATATATTTCCTTGGTGCTGATTGCACGAGGGCGCATGATGCTCCTGGTTGTGCCAGCTCCTCAGTACATCTTGCCGCAACATGTCCACGTTTGTTGCATTTGAAGCATTTGGGACCGCTTCCCCTCGTAGGACAATCGTAGCCCAAGTGACCTGCTTCTCCGCAATTGTGGCAGCGCCGCAAGTTCCCTTCACGCGTCCGTTGAACGTAACCTCTGCTCTCCGTTCTTCTTTCTTGAGACGCGTTGTCTCGGTTTCTTACCCTTGCCTCTGACGCTCCTTCGCCTCGTTTTCCTCCTTCTCGGAGCGTTATGTCTTCGAATGCTTCGAGCAGTGCTTCTTTGGTTCTAAATCGCAACATTCGCGCTTGGTCGCGAAGCTGCGAATCCGGGATTCCCTGAATGAGGTACGCCACGATTTCCCTTTCAGGAATTGGCACTCGATTCGCCACAATTATTTTCTCATGTACATAATTGTGGAACGTTTCTCCTCTCTTCCACGTCCTCTCTTCGAACTGCTTCCGCAACGCCAGGATATTGGGCTCATGTCTGAACATGCTTCTAAGATCAGACAAAAGTCCCTGCACGGACATTGTGATATGTTCTGGCTTAGAATGTAGCCATTCAAGAGCTTTCCCCTTTAATTTCATTCCGATAAGGATCCTAGCACTATCTTCACTCAGATGGTATGTATCTCGCAGTAGGTTTAGCTGTCTTTCCCAAATATCGTAACGCGAAGGTTCTCCGTCGTATGAGCTCAATAATTCTGCAATTTGTTTTATCTTTTGACCATGCGGTACACTCACCGTATTTGATGTACCAGGTTCGGTCTGTAGCCTCGTCCCTGGTTCTTCCGTAATGTTTAATTCCTGCATTTGCTTCAGCATCTCGATCTCTCGGCGTGCCAGCATCAAATCGCGTTGGACGAGCTCCTTTTCCTTTTCCACCAGCTCCAGATGTTTTCGAAGCAGGGAAGCCTCAATCGCGCTCTTCGGCCCATCGGGCGGTACCGCGATAGCCTCGAATTGTGGTTCCTGCAACTGTTTTATTAATTCCTCTGACATGAATCCAGAAGGACCTGCTTCGGTTAAACGGTTAATAAGCTCCGCTTTAGTTCCTGCTGTTGGTAGATTTATGAACCGCAACCTTTCCTTTAACTCTGTCGTCGTAAGTCTGCTCAGGTTCACGCCCTCCGTTCCAGAAAAACTCATCTTTGGTTCTTCGTGATACTCTTAACCTCGTAACTCTTTTACTCTGCACGTTTCCGACTACCGTAGGTTTTCTATTAATCACTCACGATAGCACTGTTACTGTACAATCCCGGACGAGCCCCCAAAATTGTGGGATTTAGTATTAAACGGATGCGGTGATATAAGAAATTCTATTCCGTCGGTAAACGATATAATTTTTAACTCTTTATTTCTCTGTCCTACACTTTTGACAAGCCTCCCTCCGTCTCCCGTCAGCTGTCTCCTCCTCGCTATTGACGCGTTGCCCGGGGTTATCGCTCTCTCTCACTCACTCATTCACTCTCTCTCTCTCACTCTTATCCTCGCGTTCGTTCACTCGTCATTTGGCAGGGCCGTCGCGCAACCGTCTTACAAAAACGTGTAAGAACAATTATTTTACTCCTACATATGTCTTATCAATAGTAGGGGAGGAGGACCCTTAGACCTAGTGACTAACGAGCCTTGTGACTAACAGACGATGACGTATCGATCTTTGACCTATTGGTCATCCAACACCTTCCCCCATAAAAGATTGAATTCGTTAGGATTCAATCTAAAATAACTTGATTGAGTCCGGCGTTAGTATTAATTACATGTCGCATTTAACTCTAACTTACAAACTACTAATATAAATGTATCTGTGGATATGAGTACGCGTACAGTTGAATTATATCGGAACTGTAAAACTATTAATACGAGTAGTTACAAGATTAAAATTCAGAATTAATTAATTAAGTAGTACAATTAATACAACTAATTTGATAAATATATGAGTTTGAATTATAATTATAATTATTAAAATTTAACTATTAGATTTACATTTATGCGCTTTTATGCTAAATTATCTTTACATTGTTGTGGTACTTCTGCGTAACTTTCCTCTGTAGTAGTTTCCGGCTGGAGGACTGCGTATGGGTGGTGGTGTTTGGCTCTCTTCGCTTTCTTGACCATCGGTTGAACTGGTACTGCCAATTCCAACCGTCCGCCTTCTGTTACTATATGTGACAACGTCTCTCGATGTTTCTCGATACTCGCTACGAATGTCGGAGTCGAAATTGCAATTAATACAATTTTTTATCATGGGTGGTTCAGTCTCCCCGTCGTTTGGATTTTTCATGGAGCAGAAAAATCTTCGTAGTAGTTTTAGGCAGCCGCACCAACGACAACAGTTTATACAGATTATTGTTATCAAAATCGCAGCTATGATTCCTAGAGCGATTGTATACCATCTGGTGTGTGTAACTATAAATGGTTCGTTTAGACTATGAGTTAGAATTTGATCGAGCTCGTTTAGTTTCTTGTTTGCGTATTTAAAATCGGATAAATCTATATTTGTCAGTCTTACTGGTTCCAAATGTGCCGCATCAATTTGGATTTTGTTTAGATCCACAATGCAGCAATCACTGTCCACTATACTAATTGGGGGTGCGTAGTGGGTGATGTTTCTCTTAGTTTGCTTCGTTGGTTCCAGAAGATAGATACTGCTGTATCCTTTGCATTGACTTTCTAGGTGTAATATACCTGTCTGGTGCAGAACTATATCTTCCATGTGGTCTCCATCTCCTCGGCAAAGAATGGTTACAGTAGTTGGTTTTTGCAGAACATAGATCCACTGGTTGTTCTGGATGTACGTCCATGTCTCGATGCTGGCCCTGATGGTCTTTGTATCACAATCTTCCGGTATTTTACTCGTATGAGGTGATAACAGCTGGGCCTCGCAAGTGGGCTGTTCGATTGCTTTTCTCGTATGGATATCCATACATACGTAATTCCCATCCAGGTACATAATGCAACTATTTAAATCTTGTAGGAGGGAAAAGTGCGTCTTAGGTTGGGATATGATTAAATAGGGTTGTTTGGGAAAAATATAAGAGAAGAAAGAGGTATTTTGAAATTGAACGGGAAGTGGAATTAAATGATAAAGGCCATATGTCGTTCTTGTTACTAGTGGGTACTTTAAAGCGAATATTATAAGATCTTTCGACGGAATTATTTGTAAATCTAAGATATTATAGAATATTGGCAGTGTCTCGAGTTTAGGGGATACTACTAGTTCATATTCCCCTTTGTAGTTGGTTAACTCCTTCAACAGAATTTCAGGCGTTACGATTAATGGTGATAGGATATTGTGTCTTCCCAAGTTGATTGCTTCTATGTATTTATTATACTCCTGCGAGATTGTGTTAGTTAAAGACAATAATGTTGCAATTTGTTGTCCTATTATAGATCGAGCTTCTAATTTTGTTATGTATAATTTTGTTTGAGTCATGAATTTGTTGATGCGATTTATATTACTGTTCATTATATCTTCGTTATTTTTTAGTGCTGCTAAAGATTGATTGAAATTTTGTATTGTACCGGAAATAATCTGAATTTGAGATTTTAATAAAGTTTGTGTCTGTTTATTATTGTTTAGTAGCATATTGATACTATCCGTATAATACTGTGCATCATCTGCATCAGGAGTACCAAAAAGCCAGTTGAGTGCATAAGATACGCCATTAATTAGACCGCGACGTTTACGTTTATTAATTTCCTGACCTGCCAATTGATACAATATTTCATGTTTGGAATTTATATTCTTTAGTTCGTCCTTTATTACGCTTAGGGGTTGTTCGCAATGATAGTTTATATGATCATATCCTTCCTCATCTTTTTCTTTAAACGCGCAAAGATTTTGAGATTTTAGATATGTTTTTTGTAATATTAGTCGAGCTTCCTCAAGATAGGTAATATTAATGTGCGTAAGTAGTGTCAGTTTAGTGTTTGAAATTTTTGCAATTCCCAATTTGTTGTAGAATATTCCGCTTGAACTGGTAATTGGAGTGTTAGAGAAATGGCGGCTAATTGCTAGTATTGGAAGTGTGAGGAATATCCAGAGTGTCCGATTTATCTGAAAAATAGTGTTTTAGGAGGTTAGTATGATATGTTTTTTTTCTTCCTATCGATTTGAATTTCTACTGTTTTATTAGGGAAGACTCTCGTTATTCTATATGGACCCTTAAAGTTAGGGGCTAGCTTTTTATTCTGACCCGGTTTAGTTTGTTGCTGATAGATACATACGAGTTCGTTTTGCTTGAATGTAACAGGATTGTTTTTCTTGTCGTAATACTCTTTACTTTTTGTTTTGGCGTCTAGAATCTTGTCACGAGCTATTTTAAATGAAGTATTTAATTTATGTTGCAATGAGCGTATATAATCATCATATGTATAGTGGAATTTTGGTTCTTGAACGATGGATGAAGGTAGATAGGGTTTGTTCCCGAATAGAAGTTCATAAGGAGTAAAATTAGTAGATTTATGTATCGACGTGTTATAGCTAAATATTGCGAATTGTATATATTCATCCCAATCTGTCTGAGCCGGTTTAATATAATGTTTTAGGTAATCTTTTAGTGTTAGATGGTACCTTTCAAGTGCACCATTTGTTTGTGGATGATAGGGTGTAGTAGATATATGTTTGGTTTTGAATAGATTACTTAGATTTTTTATTAAGTCGGCCATAAAATCAGGCCCCTGATCTGATAAGAATGATTTAGGTATACCATAATGCATAAATATTTTAGTTAGTACTTTTGCAATTGTTTCGGCCTCATGGTTAGGAATAGGTTCTGCGATACAAAATTTCGTTAAATCATCCTGATCTGTTAGAATAAATCTATTTCCTTGTTCCGTTAAGGGTAATGGTCCTACTACATCAATGGCTAATCTATCAAATGGTTTTTCTGCGATTGTAGTAATTTCCATTGGTTGTTTCGTTGGTTTAAAATTAGTTTTGTTTAGCTGACACGAATTACACTGTTTAATATATTTCCTTACATCTGTTTTCATTCCTGGCCAGTGATACGTTTCTTTGATTTTCGAATATGTTCTCTGAAATCCGCTATGTCCTGATAATTTACTGTCGTGATTTTCCTCTAAAATGTTTTCTATTTCCTGCCGAGATTTAGGAATAATTTTGGACTTGTTAAGAATTTTAATTTCAAACTGAGAAAATGAACCTCAACATTTCGTATAAAAGAGGCGTTTTGATATTCGGGTGTTTTTCCGGAAGTACAAAAACGAATTTTGTGTCTTGTACATTTGCTTTTAGATTCATTAAGGTTGAACATATATTCTTATATTCGAGTTTGTCAAAATGTAAATTCATCGCGAAAAGTAAGTATACTGTTTGAGTCTTATTTTCAATTTTATGTAACCCATTAATACTAGGCTTTATTCCGGATACATCAAAGTTTGAAAGAATATAATCGGAATACTGGTTCCTTTCATCTAAGTCCTGAGACCATAATAATATTATAGGATCCTTGATGTTAGTTAATGATTTTGTTTCGTGTTCATACGTTATTAGGTCCTGATTCTCATAATGGAATTTAATGAAATCCTGATAGGTAACTTGATTTTGGATATTAAAATTTACTGATTCTTCCTTCAAAGGGAGACGCGAAAGTCCGTCTGCGTTAGAATTTACACGACCGGGTTTGTACTTAATTTCATATTGGTATTCATTTAGGCGTAATCACCATCTAACTAATTTAGACGTCGGATTTTTGCAATTAAATAGCCATTGCAGCGGTCTGTGATCGGTGTATATCGTAAACGTACGTCCGTATAGGTAAGGTCGGAAGTGTTCTGTTGAGTTTACAATTGCCAGTAGCTCTTTTTCAGTTGTCGAGTAATTCTGTTCTGCTTTGTTTAAAGTACGTGAATAATAAGCAATTGGTAAGTCCTTGTCGTCCGTTATTTGTGAGAGTACTGCTCCAATTCCTACATTAGATGCGTCGCAAGTTAGGATAAAAGATTTCGAGAAATCGGGATACTGGAGCAAGGGTTTGTCTATTAGTTTCTTCTTTAACATAATGAAAGCTTCTTCCTGTTCACGAGACCATACAAAAACTTGATCCTTTTTTAATAGCATGGTCAAGGGTTTCACGATAGTGGAAAAATTTGGAATGAATTTACGGTAATAGCCAACCATTCCT